TTTTGGCCCAGGGAGGGAGGAGAGGCAGCTAAAAATAGGGGTCTCCACGCCCCTTTCCCCAAGGCGGGTGCCTGCGGGGGTGCTGCGGAGTCCAGAGGAGGGGAGCAGGCCCGGTCTCCTCCCCAAGCTGTCTGGTCCTGCCTTTGTTTGCATCTCAGCCCCACAGGGACAGGAAGAGGCCTCGGGGCTGGGAAACAATGGCTCATTCTCTCAGCGTCAGCGCCTGGCGAGCCGTGATAGGGAAGCGGGCAGGTGGCCAGCAGGCGGGCATGGCCTCTGACCGCCTCTCCCCAGCCACGGGACACGGGCTGTACAGAGGGGAGGGGGACTGCAAGCACAGCTGTGGCTGAGACCTGGCGAAACTCAGCCCCAGATCATGCTCCACACTCCTGTCCTCAGACGTACCCTGGAGCTTTGGGCTTCGGGTCTGTGAACGTACTGCTGGTTAGCAGACATGGGACTAGTAGGTGCCACCGTGGTGGCCTGCCTTGGGCCAGCAGAGAGTAGGCTGTGAATGCAGACGGGTGTGGGACCCTACCCATGTGGCGGGTAAGGGCATGATACAACATTCGCTCTGCGTTGCGTATTCCACCCAACCTAGCGGGCATGCGTGCCCCCTCCTGGTTTACAGGGACCTACCTATCCTCAATGGCTAAGGGCTCATCTCCCCATGAAGTGCCTGTAGCCCAGCATGAGAGAGAGTACTCCTTGCTGGGGTCAGGGGTGCACTTGCACTCTATCCCTCGGCTGCGTCCCGGGGGCTCTTTGCTTTCAGACCCAAATAGGTGTGAGTGCCTCCAGCGGATGCTACAAAGGGACACTTCCACACTCCCTTCTGGATCCTGTTCTCTTTCAATGTCACCTCCAACCACCATGGCCTGCTGGGAACATGCTCTGCTGGCAGTAGGGGGGCATTGGGCAGGGTAGATATATACTGTATAGATGAATTCAGGGATGTCAACCATACAGCCAGCAAGCCAAATCTGGCCTGCAGAGTGGGGTCATCTGGCCTGCAGACTTTTGCTCCACTCTGGCTGCATGGGGGACCTTCTTATGGTGGCAGCCAAGTGCTTGGGCAAGACCCATGGTGCTGGAGTCCTCTGGCAGCACTGCAGCTTGTTCCTGCAGTGGCCACCAAGTGCCTGGGAGGCCAGGCCTCTTCCCAATGGGTCCTGGGCCAGCCAGAGTGGGTGTCATGTATGCTGTATCCAGCATGAGGGGATGGGGGGCTGTGGGCCTGATATGGCATGTGAGGATGGCCCCATGCCATTCATCAGGCCCATGGACTGGTCCCTCACCACTTATCCAGCTGACAGGGCCAGGCAAGTTTGACACCCCTAGAATGACTAAATAAGATATACATAAAGCACAAGCTCTCATGAACTCGAGTTAGGGAAGCCTCTCTGCTCTCTCCACTGATTCCTGGGGGAACCCATTCCCTCCATACTGCACCCTAAGCCCAGTCTTGATATGTGTGTGTGTGTGTGTGTGTGTGTACCCCAGCTTGGGGCAGACTGTCTCCCACATTCCCACTCTTCATTTCCTTCTGGGCCCCACTGGGATCTCTCAGGTTGGTCTGTGCCAGGCTGGCTTTGACAGGCCTGAGATGGAATTGCCTAAATGGCCCCCAAAATCCGGGCAGGGAGCCCATGTGCCTGGCAGCGTTTCTCCAGGCATGGCCAGTGAGGGTTAAAAGGGTGCGCTGCTAGCACCTCAGCTGTGGAGAGGCTGGCTGGCTTTGTGGGGTGGGAGGAGGCATGGCCCCTCCCCCTGGTCCCTTCTCAAGGTCTCTGCCGTGTGGGGCTGCGTGCCTGCCAGTGCCTCTTGTTTACTCAGCCTGGAAAGGACACATCCAAGGTCTCTGCAGACTGCACTTTCCCACATGGAGCAGTGCCCTGCTGCATTCCAGGGGAGAGGGGAAAGTGCCGCGGAGGAATGCGAGGAGGTGTCGACTGGGCGTCCAGCCCTTTCCCGGCATTTGGCTTCCTATGCCAGGCACCAGGGAGAGGGTGCCCCACCTGGTTTGTCCTGGCACTGGGTACACAGGAAGTGGCATGGATCCAGGTGGGAGTGAGGAGCCTGGGACTGTGGGGGGGCTGTGGGCTCAGCTGGACTTGTCTGCAGCTGCAGAAAAGCTACTGCAAGGCTGGCCTGGCCTTGACTTTTCTCCTCCCTTCTCAGTGTCAGTGCTTTGCACTGCCCTAGAGGTGAGCCAGGTTCCACTCCTGGAGCTTTGCTCTGTAGGGTCCAGGAGGCCTGTGGGCACATGATTGTTTGCCCAGAGGCTTAGTCCTCCATGATGACTCATACCTAGCTTCCTTGGGTAGGGGGACTGGCAGGACCTGCCTTTGGGGCTGACTCTCTGCACTGCCATGTAGGAGATCCAGCTTCTTGGGGGCAGGTCTCGTTGCTTCCCCCTATGGCAAGGCACAGAGAGCCAAGGGTTAACTGTTTTGGTCTCTGCACAGACTGTTAGAGCCAAAGACAATCCAGGCTTGCAGGAGGAGGAATTGAGCTCCTCCCTTGTGGGCACCCTCTGTGGCTTTCTAGGCACCGGTGCGCACGCCCTCACTGACAGCTGCCAAGCCCTGTGCTGGCCTGGATACCTTTGGTTTTAGGAGGGAACACTGCAGAGCTTTTTAAAATTAAGCCTGGGAGCAAAGGAGGCTTTTCAGGGGTGGTTCTGGGGCAGGGGGTGACCAGATGCGCTCACCCTCTTCCTCCGCTACGTACCTTTTCCACTTGCATGTGTGACCTCCAGTCTAAAGGCAGCGTGGCCAAAAGGGCTCTAAGCTCACACCACCTTAGGGCTAGAGACATCTCCAGTCACCACCTCTGCTATGTGGCTCCTCACTGTCCCTGCAGAGAGGCAGGTCTGCGAGGGAAAGCCAGAAGGGCTGCAAAAGTTTGTGATGACCTGCTTTCACCCTGCTCCTGAGGTTCCTCTGCATGGAGACATGGGGCCCCTGAACTTTTCCCTTGTGCTTACAATAAGGGGCCTGGTCGCCCTGTTAAAGACTACAGGAAATGTGGAGCCAGGGGTTAGGGGGCAGCTAGCAACCCCTCCCCTGGGGTCAGGCATGCAGAAAACAGGGCTTGTTGAACTGCGAAAAGGGGAAGAGAGCCAGAGAGATCCAGGCTCTTCCTGTTTATGTGACTAACAGACCCCCAAGTAGTGGGGGTGGGGAAGGAGTTTGAAAGCTTATTGCTTTCTGTCAGTCTCCAGTCTGTCTGGACAGGTTGGAGCAGGGATAAGGTAGGATGCTACTCCTGCACTGAGGAGACTGGCCTTTTAACTTCTAGGGACAGGGGCATGGGGCGTGTGTGTGCCAGGCTGATATTACAAGTCCCTGGGGCTGGGACCTAGATTCAGTAGACACAGGGAGGCTCTGCTAGCCCCACTTGGGAGCTGAGGCACAAATCCTGCTGTGCAACAGGGCTTTGGATTTGATCTGCCTCTTGTTTTGTTTGTCTGTGCTGAATGTGATCTTGTCTCCGTCCTTGGCTGGCGTTGGTCTCTGTGGGATGGCCTGGGGGGCGGATATATTGGCTCGGGACACAGGAATGAGGAACCCTGGGAATGGTCAGGAATGTAGGAGTTGAATATTTAGAGGAACTACACAAATAACATCAAGTTAGCAACAAGACCTTCAAAGCTGAAACTCGGTGGCAGCCCAAAGACCTTCAAGAACACCTACATTATCTGGTGTCACTTCCCAAGCAGCAGCTAGGGCAAGGGAGACGAGCATGAAGACTGAATAAAAAGTAATGGTATCAGATTATCATGTCTGTAACCTGAGCACTATTTCTGGTTTATGTCAAAAGTGTAATGAGTATGGTAGGTCTCAGCTTAAGTTGCCCCTTTGTGTGGATCGCATGTTACTCTTCTTATCAGCAAGGGAGTTGTCTCTGTTCTGAAGGGGGCTAGATCTAGGATAGCATGGGCAAGGTGAGGCAGGGTGTGTGCACAGATACCCAAGACTGTAATAAAGTTGCCAGCAGATTAAGAGCAATGGGGAATGGCAGAGCCACGTGGAAGATGCTTAACCAGACATTAGTCTGCATTCCACCATTGAATGCATAAGTCCGCTCTTTCAAGCCCTTTGCTTTCATGACTGTCCAAACTGTCAGCGCCCTTACAGAGGAAAAAACAAATAAGTCCTATGATAGCCCTGCACTGTCACATCCTTCTTATCCCATCCTACTCAATGTGCCCGCTTCCCGGTGTGGGGGGCTTTTCCTGTGAATAATGGGCAGACAGAGGGTGACACCCGGTGGCTTGGTGATAGCAGTGCAGGTTTTGAGTGCATCCTTTCTCTGGGACCTCTTCAGATGGGGCTTGCTTCCTGGCTACTGGCAGGGCCTTGTTCCCTAGGAGGGACTTTGGCTTGGTAGCACCTCCATACCATGGTAGGTTTGAAAACCAAGCTTTCATGCTATGGCACACTTTCGATAGTCTTGCTCCAGCCTGTAGCTGTATTACCCCCAGCCTAGGGTGGCCATATTTGTCAAATGATTAAATATAGCACATGCCAAGGTGAGGGGATGGGTAAAAGGGATAGGGGGTGGGGAGAGGGAGGCTTCTTCTACACACCAGAAGTCTGCCTGCATAGCTAGCCTGGTCAGAAACATAAAACAAATCACATCTGAAGCCAGTCTTGTTATGCTGGCAAAACCCCTGTGCAGATGCAGCTGTACTGACAAATAGGGGTTTGGGTTAGTTTCAGCTATTTCTGGCCAGCCCACCAGAAGGTCTGGCAGCAGAAGGCAGCTGCCACCATTAGCTGCAGAGAGGATGCTGGCATTGGTGCAATGGTCTTCCCATCTCATGCGAAGAATCTTCCTGAGGCAATGGTGATGGAACCATTCCAGGCGCTAAAGATGGGTTTGATATGTCACCCATGCCTCACCACTCTAGAAGAGTGTGGGGATAACCACTGCATTGTAGACTAGGATTTTATTTTCCATCTGGAGATCTTGGTCAGCACAGGTATGGCGAAGCAGCTTTCTGAAGGATATGCTGGCATAGCAAATCCTATGTTCGATTTCTACATCAAGACTGAGACTGGGAGAAGTGACTGCTAAGGTATGGGAAATGCTCTAAGTTTTCCACGGGTTCTCCACTAGTAGTAATGTGGTGGGGAGGGGAGTAGCTTGTGCCAGGGGAGGCTGATGGAGCGCTTTGATCTTCCTAATGTTAAGGGAGAGTCCCAGGCTGTGATAGGCACCTGAGAAAAGGTCAAGAATGGACCACAGATCAGTCTCAATGTGTGTGAGGATAGCACATCGACAGTGTACTGAAGGTCAGTGATGCCAGTTTTGGTAACTTTTGTTTTGTTGTGAAGGTACCACAGGTTGAAAAGCTGACCATCCATTTGATACTCAACCCCAATTCCAGGAAGAAGGTGGTCACAGATGAGAATCAAAATCACAGCAAGATAGGTGGAAAAAGTGTTGGGATGATGAAACAGCCCTGCTTGACACCAGTATGGATGGTAAGTGGGTCTGTCTCTGATCTATTGCAAAGGACTGTGACAGTCATCCCATCATGGAGTAGTCTGAGAACACTGATGAACTTCAGTGGACAACCAAACCTAGCCAGCACCTTCCATATGGCTTCACCATTGATGGAGTCAAAGGCCTTAGTTAGCTCAATGAATGCCATAAACAGCTCCTGGTGTTGCTCTCTACACTTCTCCTGAATCTGTCGTGCAACACAGATCATGTCAGTGGTACCCCAAGATGATCTAAAGCCACACTGACATCAAGAAGGCGATTCAGAAGGATGTGAGTAAGAATCTTCCTGGCAACAGAGAGGAGGGCAATGCTTCAGTAGTTCCCACACTGACTTACGGGCAACCGGTGCCTCCTGGATCTGGCGGGGCACCAGCAGCCAATCGCTGACTGGGGCGGGGGGGCCCTAGTGGCTGATTGCTGACCCTGGAATCACTGGCGGCAAACCGGAAGTGCTGCCCGAAAAACTGGAAGTGCTGCTGGCACTCCCTGGTCCCCAGCCGGTGAGGGCCAATTTCAGGGGAATCACGTGCCCTCTGTGCTCCTCTTATGTATCACCTATGCGCTGACATGTCCCCTTTCTTGAAGATGGTCATAGTGTTGGCATTCTTTAAGTCAGGTGGAACTTTCTTGTTAACCCATATTTTGATGAGAAGTTGATGAAATTTTTCCACTAGTGCTGTTTCACCAGCTTTGAAGACCTCTGCAGGAATACCATATGAGTCTGGTGCCTTATTGGAATGCCATATGAGTCTGGTGCCTTATTGTTCTTGGTCTGATTAATGGCATGCCAGGCTTCCTTGAAAGGTGGGGGATCAGCAAGTGGTTCTATTACCGAGTGTTGAGGAACGGACTCAATGGTGGCAGCCGAGACCTTATCTTCATGGTTGAGTAAGAGTCTTGAAGTGCTCCTTCCAGCCTTGCTTGATGGATACGTTGTCTGTGAGAAGGTCAGAGCCGTCATGGGATCGCAAGGGGGTTGGCCGGTGGATGGCTTTTATAACTTGAAAGAAGCTTCTCATGTCATGTTGATCAGGAAAACTCTGGATCTCCATGGCCTTCGCTTGCTACCACAGGTTCTTGCTGTCCTGTAGCCTCTGAACTACAGCTTTGAGCCAGTGGTAAGCCCCTCATGTTTGCTGGTTGGAGGATTCATATTGACAGCTGCAGAACATAGCTCTCTTCTGATGGATAAGTGCTAGGATTTTCTCATTGTTCTCTTCAAACCAATCTTAGTGATGGTAAGAGCAGTATCCAATTGATTCAGCAGATGCCTTGTGAATAATATTCTTAAGCTCCTTCCAGTGTGCCTGGATGTCCTTGATGTCATCAGGTAGGTCAGAGTGCCTCTCAGTAAGGCATTGCTGAAGAGCCTTGCATCTAGCTTGGTCTTGGAGTGCCTGGATGTTAAATCTCTTCTGCATTTCTTTCAGTTGTTTATGATGGAGTGGTGCAAGCTGCATGTCCATGGTGGATCTGACTAAATGGTGGTCCATCCAGCAGTCATCTGCACCTCTCAGGATTCAAATGATACAGACATCAGTACAATCACAGCCTCTGACAATAATACAGTCAAGAAGGTGCCAGTGATTGGAGCGTGGATATTTCCAAGTGGTCTTATATTTGTCACTCTGTCTGAAGGTGATATTTGTGATGAGCAAGTCATGCTCTACACATTTGTTAAGGAGGAGGATACTATTGGAGTTGACTTTCCACACCCCCTCTTTCCCAATGGTTCCACTCCAGAGTTCAGGATGTTGCCCAATTCTTGCATTGAAGTCACCCATGAGGATGAGCTTGTCATGAGGGCAGTGGCAGTCAGCATGGTGTCAAGAGCAACAGTTCCTTGTTGACTTCTTCATCGTCAAGTGTGGGGGCGTATGCACTGATGACTGTAGCATACTGGTTTTTACTGAGCTCAAGGCAGAAAGTCATAACATGTTCATTAATGCCCGCGGGGAATTCTGAAAGCTGGCTGACAATCTTGTTCTTGATGGCAAAGCCAACTCCGTGAATGTGACTTCAGGTGACTTTTCTTTACAAAAAAAGGTGTAGCCACCTCCTTCTTCTTTCAACTGGTCTTCATCTGACCAGTGGGTCTCAGGGCAGCAATATCGATGTCATATCTTACAAGTTCTCTAGCTACTATGGTGGTTCTTCTTTCAGGATGCTCACTGTTCAGGAAGTCCATGAGAGTGTGGACATTCCATATGGAGAACTTCAGTACTTAATTTTTTTGGTTTCAGCTGCAAGTAGAGTGATCCCGCTGGATGTGGCAATCCATTCAGGGGGGTTTGAAAACGCCTATGATTTGGGCACCTTTTTTAGCCCCTTCCCTATTCAAGGTGAGCAGAGGGGATCCTAAAGAGGACTGCTCAGTCATGGCCGCAGCTTCCAAATTGTAATTCTGTTTCGGTAAGTGCAAAACAACTGCCGCCTATGTGCAAATAGCACATGGGCAGAAACTGCTATAGATGGTAAAGCATGCACACTGCTTGCAATGATTTGGGGAACCTGTGCACGGCTTATGAATTCAGTGTGACACTGGGGACTCTTGTGTACCTGTGGCACATGGAAAGCTCTTTTGTGGGGCTTGCTTGCTTACCTGGTTAAGTTTTTGCCCTGATATAGATCTAAAACCCCCAGAAAATATTGGAAGAAAACAATGGAGCATTGATGAGCATTTCTGCCAATGGAGCTTCTTTGCCCAGGAGGTGGCTTGCATGCCAGGAGCTTGGGGAATAAGCAGGAGGAACTCATCCTCCTGCTCAGTGCAAATAATTATGATGTCATAGGGATAACGGAGACCTGGTGGGATTCCACCGATGACTGGACCACGGGTATAGATGGCTATACCTTGTACAGGAGGGATCGTGTAGAGAAAAGGAGCGGGGGTGTAGCTCTCTATGTTAAGGGAAGCTACATGTCTCTGCAAGCTGATATTGGTGACCAGGGTGGACGGCTGGAGACCCTCTGGGTTAAAATCCGTGGGGAACACGGCACAGGGGACACAATGGTGGGAGTCTACTACAGACCTCCCACCCAAAGTCCTGAGCTTGACCAGGAGTTTGCCCGGGAACTGGCTGAGGCCACATGCTCCAGGACCATGGTTGTCATGGGTGACTTCAATTACCCGGACATCTC